TCACCTTTTGAGTTGCCTTACTGACATAAATGAACATTTGCACGATATTCTAATTTTTCAAGTTTCACCTGTAATTAGCTGAGAATGTTTCACCCAGTTAATTCTGTTAAGTTGACCAGTTAATGGCCAAAAAGGCGTTTGAATCTGGGTCTCCCTGGCCCCAGTTCAATACTCCATTACTTTATTTTTACTTGACTTTATTGATTTTTTTCTAAACTTGTTACCATGCTCATTACATCCTTACTATCCTCCTCATGATGGTGACACTACTAAAGTTTGAATTTAGAAGTCAGAAACCCCTGCATGGTGTAGGGAGAAGCTTCCTGTGTTTCTCAAAATGGGGAAAGCAGTGTCATACTGCTGGCGCTGTCCCTTTTGAGTGTGCATGCGATGTCAAGACACACATACAAAAGGGGCAAGGGTGCTTTCATCATCCCAGCCCCCTGTTGATCCCTCCCCCCACAGAAACTGCTGGACCCTTTTCAGTGGGGCCTCCTTAGCTAGTGTTTTAAGAATGGAGTGAAAATGATGGGTCAGAGAATTTTACTAAGCCCCCTGTCTTTTACACACACGCACACGCACACGCACACAATTTAAGCACTGGCCACCATCAATATGTTGGCAGGGAGCATTTTTGTTGTACGCCATGTCTATCTGCCAGTGGATATTAAATATACTCCATCTGGTGATGCCCATGTATAGAGGTGGTGTTTTAGTTGTTTGCAGATAGTGTTAGCTATGAAGAAATCGTTGGAGTGGCAGAAATTGATAAGCCGGTCTCCTGCTCCATTTCGGTTTCCTAAGCCGTACAGTCCAACTACATTTCCTCTTTCATGTTTCCAACTTTGGCATTCCAGTCATCCATCCCGAGCAGCACATCTTGCTTGCATGTTCCGTCAGTTTCGAGCTGAATTCGATCACAGAAGTCATCTTCTTCTGCATCAGTGGTGGGAGCATAAACTTGAATGATTATCATATTATAGGGCTGTCCACGAAGTCTGATCAACGTTATTTGGTCACTGATTGCATTGTAGCCAAGTACTGTTCTTGCCTTACCCTTCCTAACTATGAAAGCGACACTGTTTCTTCTTCGTTTTTCATGTCCTGAGCAATGAAGGGTGTGATCTTCTGACTGAAAGTGCCAATCCCAGCCCGTCGCGATTCGCTGGTGCCTCAGATGTCAGTTTGTAGTCGTTTTATTTCATCGTTCAATGGGTTGAGCTTTCCTGTGTTCATGCTGCTTACGTTTCATGTTCCTACATAATTCTGTCTTTG